AGAGCAATATTTGTTGCAGCATAGCATGTAATCTTTTCCAATACTGTTTCGCTACTCTACATGACCACCACATATGATAATAGCTTCCCACTTGTGCTTCACATTTCCAAAACAGATTTGATGCATCTTTGACAGTTTTTCTGGAGTCATATGCCACCTATAAAACATCTTGTATATATTCTCCATAAAATTAACCGATCTTGTAAGCTTTATATTACTTTGCCATATTTTCAACCATTGATCAATATCGATATTACGCCCTATGTTTTGTGCCCATTTAGTCACACATTTTTAACCATTTCATCTTGCATTTTAATTTCTAACAGATAGTTATACATTTTCTTAACAATTTTGTCTTTTGAACCTAATAAAAGCTTATCAAACATCGTTTGTTCTGAGTAGAAACCTTTTATTTTGTCTTTTGTATATCTAGATTCCAGCTGTGCTCTGGACCACCAGTCTATATAGATATTCTGTTACTCTAGCTCTTCTTTAGACCTTAATTCACCATCCTTTTTAAATAGATCTTGGTATCTTAAAAGTTTTGCTTTTGTCATGAGATTAGATTGTGTAAAGGCCTCTATAGGTGACACACATACAGGTGTCACCTATAGGGTTTTTGGTAAGACGCTCATTTTAATCGTCACAATCCTTCCCAACAACGATAATTGTAATTTATCCCATTTCTCCAAATTGTTCTGTATCTCCTTCATCAATTTTATATAATTATCTTTGAATAATGTAGTAGTCGTCTTTGTAATTTGTATCCCTAAATATCGAATTCTCTTTTCCTCTTGGAAGTTCGTCTTCTCTATTAACTTCTGCCGTTCTTGTTCTCTTATATTTTTAGTAAGTATTTTTGTTTTCTTTTGATTTATTCTCATTCCTGCCATGTCACCAAAGTTTTTTAACATTGCCATCAGGTCTTCTATTGAATGCCCTGGGTCTTCCAGTATAATGACTAAGTCGTCTGCAAAAGCCTGAAGTTTATAGATTTGGCCTTTTACTTTCAATCCTTTCTTAAAATATTAAAGTCCCATCATTAGTAAGGAGTCCTTCATTGAGACAAATGTCATTGCAGAATGAATCCATAGTAGCACCATCAACAGTACAAATGTCATTGTACAGGTCTTCGAATTGTTTTGCTGTGTTCTGGATGTGGTGAGTGAGACTGGGAAATGCGTCCCTGCCTCAATTAATGTTGTTTCATAGTTGTCTGGGTTTATGAGATAAGTCAGTCTTCACTAGTAAAGGCAGGGGTGAGAGAAAGGACCCCTGACCACAGATGTTTCTGTGTTATGTGTTCTACAATCTAGAAATGCAATGCAATTAAAATGTACTTCAGAGGAAGTTCTTGAATTGGTCTTTCAGAAAGATTTTGAGCATAACTATTGCATATCTGAAGATGAAGACGACACCACCACCTACTGAACAATGCTTAGAATTTGAAGACTGAATGAATCATAATATTCTCCCAAAGCACTTCTTAAACACTTCAGAGTGTACTTCAATAGAAGCACAGAAATGCCTTCAGTAAACCTGTAGAAGTTTGAGGGCCAACATAAACTCGAGGTAAAAAGAGAAACATCACCACAGCTCCTGTTTCTGCAGCACACCCCTCCTCCAACTCTGGGAATGTCCATGGTGGAAAGAAGAGGACAGGTTGTTTTCAATAGTTGTTGACTGCTTGGTCCCTTTTAGACCTGGCTCTTCAGGACCAAGGCTTGAGGGCGGCAACCTACGAGGTCGTCTTGCAAATAAACAAGAACAGCTGTTTCCTTTCAGGCTTTCTGTTGGTTTGTTGATGGGGGTGAGGTGGGATCAAACAATGTTTTTTTATTGTTTTTAATTGGAAACAACAGTAGCAGTATTTTGAAAAGACAACTTGTTTATACTTTTTTTTGCAAAAAAAGGACTGACAGCTACTTGACATAAATATTCTAGTGGTTGTGAACATGTGTTTCCTAGCTCTAGGTACACTATAGACATTTTTGCTTCTTCACACAAACATTTCTTTCAACATGGTACATGTACTGAAAGACATCAAAATTCTCATAGTATCAGAAAATATGCCAGATGTCATTCAACATAAGGTTTGTGGGGTTTTTTTTTTACATTTTCCTGGTTGAAAGTTACATTTATATGTGACCTTTCCTCCAAAGAGCTCAGGGAGGAACATCTGATTCTACCCTCTGGTCTGATTTTTAATTTGAGACCAACCAAAATGCATTTCACATTGTAAGTTATTTTTAAGGAGTTCAGATCTACATTATCTTGTGTAACTTGTGTTCAAAACATTGGGTTTTCTACACAGTAGCTTTTCATTGGCCCCCACATCTCTGCTGAAGGTTGGCCATCTCAAGCTGGCTCTTACATAGCTGTGAAGAGATAGCGTGTTTGTGTTTAGTCGTTTAGTCGTGTCCGACTCTTCGTGACCCCATGGACCAGAGCACGCCAGGCCTCCTGTCTTCTACTGCCTCCCGGAGTTGTGTCAGGTTCATGTTGGTTGCTTCGCAGACACTGTCCAGCCATCTCATCCTCGGTCGTCCCCTTCTCCTCTTGCCATCACACCTTCCTAACATCAAGGTTTTTTCCAAGGACTCTTTTCTTCTCATGAGATGGCCAAAGTACTGGAGCCTCAGCTTCAGGATCTGTCCTTCCAGTGAGCACTCAGGGTTGATTTCCTTTAGAATTGATAGGTTTGTTCTCTTTGCAGTCCAGGGGATTCTCAAGAGCCTCCTCCAGCACCACAATTCAAAGGCATCAATTCTTCGGCGGTCTGCTTTCTTTATGGTCCAGCTCTCACTTCCATACATCACGACAGGAAAAACCATAGCTTTGACTATTCATAGCTTTGAAGAGATAGCAACCGAAGCAAAATTGTCCACCTCCTACATGTACGTATAGAGCTTGATGACCCCAGCTAATACACTAGAAGCGTTTATCTATCGTCATATTTTCTCTGTTTAAAATGAGAAGCATTGTCTACAAAAATTATCTAGTTACATAATCAGAGGACTTCTTTTCCCAAAGTAAAATCATATTAGGCCATAGATATTTTCACTTACAGTAAGTCAGCAAGTACAGCAAAAATACAGCCAGGCAGGCACTTCCTGATGGTGGCTAATTAAAATAGAACGGCCCGCCTTGGAAGCAGGGCTGGGTCTCTTAACAGGCAGAACCAGATTCCCCAACTATAAAGTAACCAATTTGCTGTTGTACTGTAGTACAGCATAACCCGTCAAGACTCTCATGATCAATAGCTTTCAAAGATGCACTTTTCAAGTGATTATTAAAGTCTAGGAGGATTAAGCAAGCAGAAACTGTTTTAATGGATCTCACACTCCAGCTTTATTGTTTACCCGTAGAAGGATATTGCAAATTATCTTAAAGTACCAGATTCTAAAGGAGAACAAGAAGCTTAAAAAAAGGTAAGCAGATTACTTTTATTTTACCTCAAATAATACCAAATAGGCTGTGAAATTTAACTGTCAAGTGTCACAAAAGTAGTGCCTGCCCTCCACAAATTTATAAAGCATTTTTCATAGATATGATTGTAGAAGTTTATTACCGAGATACATGAATAATAATTTGCTAGACAAGTTTTATGCACCTAAACTAGTTTCTCTTGGAAGTGTGCCAAAAGGAACTTAAAGATGAGAGCGAACTTTAAATTTTTCAAATCAACCAACTCTTTCTTTGCACAAAGTTCTAATTTTAAAACAGAAGAGTTACGTTAAGCTGTATTCCAGGGCATTGGCTTACTTTATCTGTAAAGTTAAGAATACCAAACTAAACAAAGCAGGTTTTATTTAATTTTATACAAGAACTTGTAAATCATTTTTGATTTATGGACGATTATTTATTCTAATACTTGGAAAACAGCAGGAAATCAAGAAAATAAAAAATCCGTAATATGTTACAAAGTGCCTATGTGAACTTTATTACTACCAGAGAACTTCAGCACTTTTAATTTAGCAATCATAGGAAAGGGAGTGTATGTGTACATTTGACAGAGATGACATCATCTCATATTTATGAAAAATACTAGTATTGTACGTGGATGTTCTTTCAATCAACATTTATGCTCTGACAGAACATAAGGATCATAATAACTTTCAAAATGAATTTTAATCTGGTATTTCCCTAATATTCAAAGAGTTGGGCAGTTTGAACAAGAATCACTAAAGACAGAACAATACTGTATATTAAGCTACATCATAGAGCTGCAAGCTACAGAGTTAGCATAAGGAAATGCTTTTTTATCTCTATGTACAAGGTACCCTTTATAAGGTCTACTTTAAAATTGTAGGATTTTATGGCATTAAGTTCAGGTAGGACATTGAACAAATAATAACAGTAATAGTAATAACCGTAACTGTAATCAAATGTGTCTGCTACTGGACTATGAATGTGAATACTGCAGATCAGATGTTTCCGAATTACACAAAGCAGAAAATTATTTTCTATGTTAACATGTATGTTGTGAATGCTCCAAATGTCTCTGTATTACAAAAGATTCTGTAATACCCAGAATACACTCAATACAGAGTTGACAGAGAGCATATGTTTTGCATGCAGAAGGTCACAGCTTCAATCCCTGACTTCTTTATGTAGACTTAATGAGAAACCCTATCTGTTCTCCAACACATGCAACATAAACTCCCAATACTTGCAAAATATAAGTCCTACTTTAATTCAACCCCTAAGAAACTGTTTAACAATTATCCAACCAATATTGCAAAATGCAATTATAATAGTTGCAAAAATAATAGGTTTCTCAGGTAGATATTAGCTCAATTCATAGGTCTTTCTGAACATTGTACTGTTAGCACCAGTCTGTTCTTTTTTGTTGTTGCAAACTGACAACTGCAAATCTAGTTTCACTGTAAGCAAGTATGCATAGCAAACTCCTCCTAATTTCTGAATCACAATACAGTATCTTTCTGTGGGAGTGTTAACTTACTGATCTCCACCCTGTATCATTAAGTTCATACATCTGGAGCAAGGAAACTCCTATTCAACCATTCCTTACAATAACAGTTACAGTAACTATACTTGTGCTAACCATGTTCCAGCATCCTTAACAACTCCTCTGAAAATTGAAATTACATCCCTACTAATTCAATAGGTCTAATCTAACGTAATTTACTATAGTGTACTAAACAATGGGAGTTGGGCCATTATTTATTTAATATTCATGAAAAACAAACAAACAAAAGCCACAAAAGACATATATTGTTACATATGTACATAAACATGCCTCCCCCGCAAGAACAGTGGCATACAAAAAAAAAAATATATTGTTACATATGTACATAAACATGCCCTCCCGCAAGAACAGTGGCATACAAAAAACACCACATCACAGAACAAAGTAATCACACATTTTAAAGCCTTTCTCTTGCAAAATAATTATCTTTTCAATCCGAGACAGCTCTATTTTGTTGCTTATTGATAATACAATTTGTCATTTAATTACAGAGTTGTTAAATATATTAATGTTGCTAAAACATATACTAGACTGTGAAAGGCATTTTCATACTACTGTTAGGAAATCTTTATTTAGCACTCCTAAGCATGTTCACATGGCCCCAAAATGAACTTTTCAATGAATGCTCTAAACTGTGCCAAAAACAGTTTTGCAACATTACTAAAGGCTGCTGATGCTAAATCACGTTGTAGGATATGGGAATCACAGAGTTTTGCAATGGCTAGGTATTATCAGAATAAAAACTGAAAATCATTGCCTTCTTCCTTGTAAACTGCTGTTGTCCATAAATTGGCCCTGAAATATATCAGCTCTGTAAATTCTAGGACTTTCATAATACTTTCAGAAGATCAGATTGGAACCTGTGCTTTAGAAGATGGTTACAAAGAGTCACTGGAAATTACTGTATTTCTCAATATTAAGCTGAAGGGACGACAACTTTGAGGGGATTAATAGGGTATATTTAGGAGTTACAGTATATCAATTAATTTAGGTAATTCCTACTGTTTCATATTTTCCTTCAAATCCCTATGAAACACAGATCCCAGGCCATAAACCATATCTGTAGAATTTTCAAGCCCTTGCGTTATTAGACAAAGTTGTAAACAAGGTACCATGCATCCCTTGTATTTACCTCCATTTTTCTTTGAAAAATTGACAGAGAAATAGTACTTCCAGTTTATCTGTGACGATTCTCAGTCATTCAGGTGAGGTTATCTGGAAGCTGAGTCATGGACTGCTTTCTTATTAGGCTGAAACGTTTCACTATTCATCTAAGTAGCTTGGATGTGTTTGGAGCTCCAGACTGGAGAAACCAAACAGCCATTAAATAGGAGAATGGCCCAGCACAGGAGGGGCAATGGCTCAGGACCACAGTCAGCAGTGTTCCTTCATCTGAAGGGCAAGGGACACTCATTTGATAACCAAAATGTACTCATTTTGGATATAGAAGATAGGTGGTTTTAGAGAGGGGCCAGGGAGGACATACATGTGCATACAGAAAATCTCTCACTCAACAGGGATGGAGGCCTTAGGGACAATCTGTCTCCTATTTGCTGCCCTTTCATCTGTCCCCAGAAAGTTCAGGACCACACACACCAGAAAGACCACTGTTAATGACCGTTAACAACCCATAACAATGGGTGGAGAAGGCCTGCAGAGGTGGAATTTTCACTCACTCCCAGTTCTTTGTTCTTCTAAGGAGCCTATTGAGACCAGGAGGAAGTGAAATCAACATGGAGGATATATCAGGGATCTCCTACCAACCCTCCTGTAACTGAAGAAACTACTTGGATGAGTAGCAACACATTTAAACCTAATAAGGAAGAAGTCCAGTTGCCATGACTCAACTTCCAGAGTACTTCCACTCCTATGTTATGAATTCAAATAAGAATTCCACTTAAAAGAAACTATATTATGCCATACATTAAAAGAAGTAATTTCCTTTAGACAGCTATTCCAAAGAAAACTGCAAAGGTTCCACTGATTATAATACCACTTGAACACCTATAATACCACATACTGTAGAGATATATTCAGAGTGAATAAAAATCAGTGATTTTGAAAGAAATGTGAAACTTGGATTTAAAAAATTAAAATCACATTTTATTTTTCAAATGCTTTATTTGCTCACATATATAAGTAAGGCTGTAACTACATGATTAAGTACTGTGGAATTTGCTCTGCTTATACAATTAGTGAATTTGAAGTATTTTTACTGACCACATAACGCAAAGCCAGATTTGAATTTGTCCAGCATCTCGGTATGTAGGGAGTTGGGGCATAATTTTCAGGACAAGGGGGAACATGTCCCCACATTCTTTCTTCTTCCTCATTTGTCCCTCAATTTTTTTTCAAAAAAATTCTTACAAATTTAATCCACAGCCACTGTATGAACACTGATTGTGATTTCAAATGTAGTAAGTACAGGCTACAAATTGAATTGCTAAAAATCGAATTTCCAGTGTAGTCACACCCTTACACTGATTCAGTGGCCTACTCTAATTCTAACTAACTACTGTACTGGACTTCAGCCAATCCAACAGATACAATCAGGAAAAATTAGTTTTCAAGCAGTGTTTGTAGCTCCAGAGATACACATCTGTTAACAACAATAAATGAAGATGAAAAATAACAAGCTTGAGCAGTCCAGTTTTCCATCTCTGATTGAAGTAATTCATGGAGCCCCTCTCCCCAATGATACAGTATCTAACATTCTTAGAAGCCCTGTTAAATCTCCAACGTTGCTTTGAACAGTTTCCTTGTGTGATACTGTTTTGTTTAGAGTATAAACCCTACTTATTATCTGTCTGAAGCTTTGTGTAAACCGAGTAATGCCCTTAGATATCTCAGAGTGCAGACTTCCAGGCAATGGCTAGAGGACTGTAGATGTTGAAATGTGAGCAAGAAGACTGTGAAAAATGTATAATGCAGTTATAGCAAACAAGAAAGCACTTCTGAAGGAGGGAACTGAATGACTAAATTGAGACTGAGCAGTGATTTAAACCAATTAAGGTTTAGATCAATTTGATTTAAATCAACTTAACTCTGCACATGTTGGTTCTATCAGTGGAATTTCCATACCACTGCTAATGTCTTTTGGTCCCCAACGGACTGAATCTTCACATGATCTAGTCATATTATTCAACCAGTGGTCTATGAGAATTGAAGTGCCTGTAGAATTGCTCTATACAAATGGGGAGAGGAGGTAGCACATGATCAGGGATAAATAAGCTCCAGGGGCCATCTCTCCACTTCCATGACTCTCCTCTCCTAGTTTTCTATTTGAAATAGGAGGTACTTGAAATATTGCTTCTAGTTTTTAAAAAAGCACTTCTGCTTGCATAAGGGTAGATTATTTATTACTAAACTAAAGTGTGGGGTGATCGGTGACCCTGGAGACACAATCCTCTTGCCTTTTAAATAAAATTCCCTTCATCTGCTATATCCATACCTGCACTCTAGAGAGCTGGGGAGGGTACATATGCTGCCTTGAGGCCCACAAGGCTGTATGATTTCTACATAGGGTATATAACATTGCTCTGAGTTTGTAGTGCATAGCTTAAAAAACTAAGCACATGCAGTCATCTCCTACCATCTACAGAAAAGCTCTAAAATACAGTGGTGCCTCGCTTGACGAGGATAATCCATTCCAGTAAAACCACTGTAGAACAAAATCGTCATCAAGCAAAAGTAAAAAACCCATTGAAATGCATTGAAAACCAGTTCAATGTGTTCCAATGGGCGAAATACCTCTTCTGAGGCCCCCCTCAAAAAAAGGTGCACTCAGCAGCAGCAGCTACCTCCACCACGACAGAGGAGCAAACTTTGCAAGGCGAGCCCAGGCAGCCTCCAGGACCAAGGCGGCTGAAGCAGGACAAAGCACCTCTGGGTGCTGAGGTGGCCGCTGGCTGGGCTGGTGCTGGGGGTGCTGAGAGAGAAAGAGAGCCAGAGAGCCGCTTCCCTGGAAGAGGCGGCGGCGGCAGCTGCTGTTGGTGGCTTGGAGGCGCTCTTCAAGGAGGGGCTGAGAGCGAGCTCCACTCTCAGGCATCACTCGGCGGCAGCTCGGGGGAAAGGGCCAGCAGCGTGCCTCACTCACCAGCTCTCCCCCAAGACAGCATCTGTTGCACTCTCCATCCAGAACTGCAGCCTGCCAGTCTTGGGAGAGAGCCAGTGAGTGAGGCAAGGCTTTTATTACTCTTGACAGCAGAGGCCACATGGGCGCTTCGGGGGGCAGGCAAGGCAAGGGCCACAAACTATCATCCAACGGGCCACAAATGGCCCCCAGGCCGCATGTTTGAGACCCCTGAAATAAGGTCTTTGGGGGATGGGGGAAGGAGATTTTGTGAATGATTTGTGACAAAAAAAAAAATCCCTACCACCTCCCAGCACTGCCCTTGTTCATACCTGAATTTTACAGCCTATGACAGGCTTTCTTCTTAAAACAAATATTTCTAATAGGGAGTGGCATATATATACTGTACATAATACTGTTTATAACAATTTTCAAAGAAGAATTACTAGGATCTAAAAACAAATAAATTGGACTGTTTTATTTATGTTTTAATACCTGCTTGTTTCATACACTACTTTAAATTTTATGGGATCAATTTTTACTGTATTTTATAAAACTTATTTTTAGCTTCTTTGTGGGGATGGGGGATGTAAATAAATGACATATATCTTGCATTTCCATGTTAATATATGACTTTTTTTTCAAAGTTCACAAAGTGTTTCAGGATTTTGGAGAGGCAGATCTCCTTAGGCAATGCCTAAGTACAGGTGTGCTTACAGCCTCCTAGACAGGACTACCAGACTGCCATGAGACTGCATGCTCTTTCCTGCTCTTTTCTTCTTTTTAAACAATTTTTCAAACATAATACTACATGTGCACAATAAGTAAATGTTAACCATAGCTTCTATTAGAAACCACAAATATCATGGTTAACTCACAAAAAAGAAAGGCAGGGCAGTTATACAAGCCTATAAACAGGGCGGAACAGTTATGCAAGCCTACAAACAGCTCTAACTCATGATTGGGAGAGGGGACTGTTACGTACATGTGTCAAGATGCCTCTTATATGCTGATGACTTCAGCTTGCCAAAAACAAGGGTCAGACATACTAAAATGGAGTATTATATGAGCATAATTCTGTCAACAGCAACGCGTATATCACACCTATGAGTATCTCAAAGGAATATCTTGGCCTGATTGGTGACAAAGTGCTTCAAAGACCTAAGAAAAGAAGGGTGTTTGCTAGTATAGGTAGCAGACTTCTACAGCTTGTGCATTATTTTGACTTTCTCTTTTATCTCTGTTCTCCTCACATAGTTGTAACAACTAACAGAAGCAAATTTTAATCCTAGGTGTACACCATTGTCTGAATTAATAAGAGATCTGCAGTAAATTCTGCAGAAGATGAAAGATCGTCTTCAGGAGCTTAAACTGAGAGCAAAGGAGCTACAACTACTCGAAGAAAATAGCCGTGTTCCTGGTGTTGTGGTGGAAGAACAAGGAGAATTTGAACAAACAGCTGTCATTTTTGAAAAGGAGCCTGTAACAGATAGATACCTGGTTGAAATCCAGCGACTTCACAATGATATTAACCACTTGGCTACAAATGTTCAGAAGTTTAGCCAACAGCAAAAAAGTCTGATAGCTTCCATGAGAAGATTCAGCATGCTTAAAAAAGAGTGCAGTGCCACAAGAGAGATAAAAATTCAAGCAGAGCACATTAATAAGTGCCTTGATGACTTGTTCAAAACAACAAAAAAGGCAGAAAAACAGCATGGATCATCATCTGCTATTGGAAGAGTTCTTAGCTCTCAGCGAGCAGTTCTATTCCACCGTTTCCAAAATATCATGCTTCTGTACAACAATGCTATAACAGCTAAGCAAGAAAAATGTAAAGGCTTTATTATGCGCCAGCTTGAAGTCGCTGGAAGAGAAGTGTCAGAGGAAGAACTGAATGATATGGTTCAAGAAGGGAAATGGGAAATCTTCAATGAAAATTTACTTACTGAGGTCAAGATTACCAAAGCTCAGTTATCTGAGATTGAGCAAAGACACAGAGAATTGGTTAATTTGGAAAATCAGGTGAAAGAGTTAAAGGGCCTTTTTGGCCAAATCTCACTTCTAGTAGAAGAGCAAGGAGAAATGATCAACAGCATTGAAATGGAAGTGACTAATACACAGGACTATGTTCAGATGTCAGGAGAAAAGTTTGGGTTGGCAGCCAAGTATCGAAAGAAACATCCTTGCAGAGTATTATGCTGTTGCTGCTGTCCCTGTTGCAAATAACAAGGCTTCTGGCCAACTCAGTCTTCCCTGTATTCACCCGGAACTAGCATGTACCGACCAAAGGCAGCCTCGTTACAAGGACAATAGCTGCGCTGTCAGGCATGGATGACATTATGTCACAGCTATTATTTTATTCTTTTCAAGTGACATGTCCAAAGTTGAAGTACCATGTGAAGTACACAAAACAAAAGCTAAGAAGCAGAAGAAAGAATAGGAAAGGAATGGGAAGCCTTGTCAACTTCCACATGACACAATTTTAACACCTACCTGACGGCTCTTTTGTTCTAAGACTGAAAAGGTATAATATCTTTTTTAAGGTATTATTTTTTCTAAAAGAGGGTAATATTGGGCTAGGTGTAAAAGGAGGCATGGTACGTATCAGTTTACTAATGACCAAAGCTCCCACTAAGGTGCGGGCCTGTAATTCTTCCCCTCTCCGCACACCCACAGTGATAGTTTCCAGTCTCCCATTTAGGAGGAGAGTCACACACATGATGGGGTGAAGTTGTATGTGAGACGGGCAGAGCCCCACCCATTAAGGCTGAAAATTAGAGGGAACATTGCTAATGACACTATGAGGAACACATATGTCAAACAGGTGCATGAGGAAACAGGCACAACAGAATACAAATTCAATTTACTTCCTTGAGAAATCTCTGAATGCTTCTAGCAATTTTGTACAGCTTTTCAAATGAAGGAAAACTGCAAACCTATAGTAACTGAAATTAAGTCAACATTATCTGAAAGGTGCTCAGTGAGTTATGAAAAATACATGGAAAACTGGTGACCTGTTCTAAGAGAAGAATGTTTCAAACTATTTGTGACGGTGGTATTTTTGTTGAAAGACCGCTGAAGGTTGTTCAGTCATGACAGCTAAACTGATATAGGTTAAAAGGCTGAAGAAACAGTGAGATACACTATGCATAAAATGAAGGCTAGAACTATTTAAATATTGTACATTCTCTTCTATGTCATTTGTGGAGTCCTCTGCATGTCAGAAGTGGCAGCTCTCAGGATATTTTGAGTCTTGTTCATGTGTAACTAAAGTTTTTATTTAAAACTTTAATGCATAATGTATATAATGCTTTAAAAAGTAACTGTTATAAATGTTTCATGTGGTTCACCCGTATTTGCATATTCCCTGGTGCAAAATACAAATTATCCCAGCAGTGGAGGTTCTCTGTGCTTCTTAAACATTTGTTAGTTGTGGTAGTATATTTTATTTTTGAGGACTAATAAGCAAGATATATGTAAGATAATTAGCAAGTACATAAATATTTGCTTCATACAATGGCAAATGTGCGTACACATGGGGAAGACTTGTAGCTGTTCACAGGGTTCTGATACAAGCACCTGTGAAAGCCAACAACAGCACAAACACTGTGTATGAAGGCCAAGAGTAAAAAATCTAGTTTTGAAAAAGGCTGACACAACATCAGGAAGGTGTTTTGTTCTCTTTTGACTTTGCTTTCTTTTAAACATGCCACCACCATACTGCTTGGGAAAGTCCTTTTGAAACTTTCAGATTTAAAAATGCTATGTACAGAAAGAAGGGCTATTGTTTCACAAACGTGAGATTAAAGCTATCATTGCCTCAGGACAGATGTGGTGTTCTTTCTGTCCTAGTCATAATGTTTTATTTATAAGTATTGAAACAGGCAGGAAGCAGGCAACAGAGCAGAGGTGTAACTAAACAATTATTAGGCTTTGGGTATATTAACAAGAGATTTTCCCAGTTAGCTTATACCACAAATACACTCTTCCCCAGTTCTAAGTACACAAAAATTCAGTAAGACAAATAGCACAAGCCCAACTTAAAATCAAAGATCCCTGTAACTTTGTTAAGAGCCTTGCACTGCAGTGGTCTTAATTTGCAACTGAAAAGGTCAAGATATAGCCAATAATTATGCATAAATTAGCAGCTTTTCCCTGTAAGACCACTTTTAAGTAGCACTTCCATGTCAAATTACCCCACTGCACAAATGCAAATTTAATTTATTTAAAACGCAAATCCATCTTCATCCTGTAGGCAAGACAGAGAATACTATATACTATATAAAGTGCAAATCTATCACTAGTGTGAGACAACCATGATTATATGTGTGGGAAAGATTAAATTAAACAATGTTGCCAATTTACATATTAGAGTAATAGAAAGAAATCATGTTTTGTCATAATTGCTGGGAAAGACAGTAACAGATTTGAAATGTATAGCTAAAACATTAAGCACAGGGTAGGTTTGAATAACAAGGAGCAATTTTCACCCAATTAAACAAAAATCTTAGACATTTTAAGGACAGGAAGAATTTTGGGTTCTTCCATTTTGCTGTAGGCTGATTTAATGAAGCTTTTGATATATGCAGTATAGCTGACAAAATATAATGATTTCATACAGTAATAAAAGTGCTTTAAAATTACTTAAGTATATAGGATAAATAGAGAGCAGTTTCACATTTTACTGTTGAACACAGGCACAAAATTGTGACTGTCCCTGTGTAGTATATAAGTGAACTCTTGGCCTTGATTATCCCCTTCTAGTTTTTATGCCAAGAAATCTAATCATTTAAAAATACTCATAATTAACTGTACTATATGTCTATTTTGCCTTTTAAGACCTGAGGAGTTTTTGTACCAGAGACTGAAAAGCAAAGCATGAACTGAGTGGCTGTAGTGGCTGCTATTATTCAGCTCTAATAGTTCTTGTTATTTTCCCACACAAGTTGGTTTTTTCAGAGCAAACATGTCCACGTAAAATAAAACATTAGCTTTTATAGAGAACAACAAATTCACACTCTTGTAATATGAAGTTCTTTGAATGAATAGCTATGGTAAAAATACAATGTACAGCAAGAGATTCTACACTTGTGAATGGGTCAGATGCTGATACCTAAAGCAGCAATGTATAAATAATCTAATTGTGCTGGAGAACCTGATAATGAAAACATGGATTTTAATGGCTTAACTTAAACCTTGAGGCAGTATGCCCAAATTGTTCTTACTTTCACATAGCTGGGGGAGGCAATGTGTAGCCTGTATAATTAAATTGTAAACCGCCCGGAGAGTGCTTGTAGCGCTATGGGGTGGTATATAAGTCCAATAAATAAATAAATAAATAGTTCCATAATGTAGTTATTATATTTCAGGGATAAGGAACATCCAGATGCTGGTTAACTATTATTTCCATTATATCTCTACCAATAGCTAAAGTTGAAATGAACTGGGTGTTCACCAGCATATAAAGGACAACAAGTTCTCCAACTCTGTTCTCTTCCCACACTGACACAGATGCTATCATGAGGTTCTTAAGAATGGTTATCAATTAATCTATTTACACACGTAGCAAACATAATCCTATATGTGACGCAAAGCAATCCTTCTCTCCTAGACATCTGTCTTCTCTAATAAATTTTCAGTCTGTTTCTTATCCAAACTTCAGATAGAGAAACAGGTGTGACAGAGAAAACTGTACAACTCTATAGAATGGGCCTACACAAAACCAAGAGGCCATTTTTTAATGTGGCACAACAATGCTGCAGCTCTATAAAGTCTCCATAGCCTGTGGGGGAAAAACAGGTAGTTAAACATGTTTTAAAATGCAACAGCCTTGGAAAAACCAGCTAAACAAGACTCATATTATACTATCCTGTTTATAGGTAGACTAGAGGGGGGGAAAGGGTCAAGAAGGTGAAGATTCTCAATTACTAAGACACCAAAAAAGTGACAAAACTAGTGAAGATTAAAAAAAGATGCAAACCCAACAACAAGAAGAGCAGATAGTATTTTTCCAGAATTGCAGTACAAGCTACAAGGCAAACTGAGGAAAATTCTTTCTTCCCTTCCTATCCCTGATGCACATATCTTTCTATCTTTCTTCCTCCATATCAGTTCTCTTGCATAAGTCCAATTATCCCTGGCTGATATAAGTTAATATAATGGGAGGAAGGGAGTTTTTCAGATGCACTCAGTAAAATTCTAGAATTTGAGTAAAAACAATGTTTAGAGACCTGTCTTGGTGCTCTGAGAGGGAAAGAAAATAAAAGCCTCTACTGCTGCCCCACCCCACTACAGTAGTTGTTTCTAAGTAAACAATGAAGCCATCTGTCTTCCCCCCTCCCGCCCCACCTGCAGCAGCTGCTTTGAAAACGCCCACTATTAGGTAAAAAAATCTTCCACGGATTAGGTAGATTTATACTGTGGAAAGGATGGAGAATAGTGTGTTTTCCTCTCATACAGAACACAAGGCAGCAAAGATCGCAACTTACACTATGTTGCATGGGAAAGGTAACAATTGAACTCAGTAGGGCTTATCTCTAAGTGAACAAACAAAAGAATGGGCTCCAACCTCTCTTGAATGAACTCTACCATTCCTTGAACCTCAAAACTGTGCTCAGACAAGGGACTCACATGATTCAGAATAGTTAAGATATATGGTGCAGGGATATGGATATGAAACAACTATGGATATGGAACAACTGATTGGTTCAAAATTGGGTGGATATGGAACAACTGAATGGTTCAAAATTGAGAAAGGAGTACAACAAGGCTGTATATGGCCTCCCTGCTTATTTAACTTATATGCAGGATACATCATGAGAAAGGCTGGACTGGATGAATCCCAAGC